TCTTCTCATCTTCTCCCCCACAAATAACCAACCACAAACAGATCTGTGGTACACTTCATCCGTCCTATCTTTCTCTCTACCTCTCTTTCTCAAAAATATATAATTTTTATTTTAGATGGAGTTTTGCTCTTGTTGCCCAGGCTGGAGTGCAGTGGCATAATCTCGGCTCACTGCAACTTCTGCCTCCAGGGTTCAAGCGATTCTCCGGCCTCAACCTCCCGAGTGGCTAGGATTACAGGCATGCGCCACCACACCCAGCTAATTTTGTATTTTTATTAGAGTTGGGGTTTCTCCATGTTGGTCAGGCTGGTCTCAAACTCCTGACCTCAGTTGATCCAACTGTCTCAGCTTCCCAAACTGCTGGGATTATAGGCATGAGCCACTGCACCTGGCTATAAATATTTTACATAATACTGTAACAATTATTTCTTATTTTTTACCTAACACATCATCAGCATCTTCTCATGTCAACAAACTGGTATAAAATTTACTTTTAATGGCCAAATACCACTATATTGAATTATGTGCCATGACTTTATTTTGCTCATCTTGGTCAGATGATGTCCAATACTTTTCTATTTCAAATAATGTTTTATTTAATTATCTTTACAGCTAAAAATGCTTATGTGCTTAATTTTTTTTCATTAATATATATTCTTAGAAGTGAAAGTAGCAGGTCAAAGGGAAAAATATTTTTAAGGTTTTTAATTCATTTTGTGAAAGTGTTCCTGGAAACGTTGAAACAATTTATGTTCACAGCAACAGTGCACATGTTCTTTCTTCCTCAAATGTTTCTTTCCAAATTGATATGCAAAGCATGGTAACTCATTATTTTAATTTGTAACTAATTGGAAAACAGATTGAACCATTTTTCATTGTGTTTTTTACTCTTTGTATTTATTTTTTTCTCTTTGTTTTAAAAATGTATGTATTTATTCCTGTTCTGTCCTTTGCCCATTTTTCTCTTATTCAGTTTCCTTACTGATTTTGAAATAAAGTTAAAAGAGAAAGCAAAAAGCAAAGAAAAACAATTTTATATCTTTCAAATTTAGAATAAGGTTATACGACTATACTGGAATGATTTCAGATGTAAACCTGTGCTTTCAGCAGGCCAGCCAAACTTTTAAAATGTTGTAGAGAAAAGAAGATAGCTGAATTTAGCTCAACTGAAGTCTTTGGTTCTTTATAGCTAATTATTTTAAAAGATAGTCTTGCAACTTTGAAGTTTTAAATATACATTTAAAAACAGCTTTTAGGTGAATTGTAAAAAAGAAAGCAAATGTCATATCTAGAAATAAAGACAAACCAAGAAAGCTTGGTGAAATATGTATCCTAGCTCTCATGATTTACAGCATTATGGGGTTTTACTTCCCATAAGTTGTCCCCATAAAAAATGTCTTCTGTAAAAAATGTATTCACTCAAATAAGGAAAGAATTTCAAAAACAAATGCAATACAGACACAGATAAAACACTTTAATCTTGTCCAAGGTCTCTATCAGTTTCTATCACCTTCACTTAATTAACAAATGTACTGAGGAAACATTTACTATGGGCCCTCCATGTGCCAGGCAGTGTCCTTATGCTTGAGAAAGAGCAAGAAACAAAACTAGGTCCCTGATCCTGTGCTTTTTCAGAGACAGAATATAAATAAGTTATAGATAAATAAATGAACAAGATGATTATCCTTAATCTGCTTTTTATGCCCAAAACAAAAGGAATAGTAAGACTACTTTTTATTGGGTGGTTCCATTACCTTGTATATGTCCTTCATGGCATGTGCAAGTATTTTATTCATTAGTTTACTATTTATCACCAGCATGTCTCACTAGCTATACATGTTACACGAGGACAAGCAACTTATCTTTAATACTGCTGCTTTCTCAGTGCTCAATATCATACTCATAGGATGTGTTCCATCAGTTTGTTGAGTGAATGAATGGATGGATCCATAAGCATTCTAAACAAAAAAGATAACTAAGAGATTAATGTCATGCACTCCTTTCTAGCCTGCTCATCTCTACCCTTTGTGTTCAGTCTCTACAGGTGGTACAATAGCTCTGCTCCCACGTCACAACTGTGAAAGCCTTCTAAGAGACTAACCAGATGATGCACACTGATGCAGCTTTGTCCACATGCATAGTTGTCCAAGAAATAAAATGCCAACAGATGTGTCTCCGG